TTATTTCATTTTTTTATAAATAAAATAGAAAAAATAAAATATGTATTCGAATATTAATTAATCTAGCTAAGTGTAGTAGGAGAAAATATTTAAGGAGAATATTTAGATATAATTTTATATATGTGATTTATATTTTTTTTAATAAAAATACGATAATAATAAAAATATAATAAATATATTTAAATATTCTTTAGGAAGTAAAAAACCAAAAAATTACATAGTAAAAGAAGAATTGTATTTAAGTTTTTTTTTAATATTTAATTTCTTTTTGATAATGTTGAATAAATTAAAAATAAATATATAATATATTTTAATTAAATAAAAGATACATATATTCATCATATATTTTACGTATTTTTTAATGGGTTAAATACATAATTTTCTTTATTATATAAGCGAGTTTTGATTTATTCCTTTAAAATTTTATTTTTGGATTATCCTCTAAATCTTTTGCTTCCTAAGTATAAAAATTACTTATGTAAAATTTTTTTATTTGATTTATCCTCATAATTTTTACACGCTTAGAATTACTCAATAATTAAAAAATTGTCAAAAAATAAATCAAAACTCATATATATATATATATATATATATATATATATATATATATATATATATATATATATATATATATATATATATATATATATATATATATATATATATATATATATATATATATATATATATATATATATATATATATATATAACAGGAAAAATTGTGCATTTAAACTTTTTTTTTTATTCACTTACCCTAAAAAGCCAGATTTCCTAGCTTTTTTTCTCATCAAACTTAATTATTTTTGGATTTTATTGCATATTTATCACGCATTGTAACAATAAAAGGAAAGTTTCATAATAAAATACGTACAAATTATGATAACAAAAATGCAATGTATATAATCTTTTTTTTTTTTGACAAATCTTTTTTTATTTAGATTTATGAAACCCAAATATATTGATAATTGTTCTAAACATTAAACTAATTAACGAGTTTGACTGTTATTAAGCACATTTATAGATGGTAAATTAATTTACAAAAAAATGATGATGATGTGTGTTTGTGAACGGGTACGTTGGATCTATCTGAGTAAAAAAAAAAGGATAAAATTAAACGATTCTTCATATACATAACAGAAAGATTCTTCCACAAATTCCAAAGAAAAAAAAACCTCACTCTTTTTCTCATCTGCTAAAACCTTAAGTCTTAACTCACATTTTTTAGATCTAATGAAGAAAAATTGTTGTAACAGTAAGAATTGACGTAAGAATATTATATTCATCATGCATATGAGAAATCAATGGGGAGGATCATTTGAGTTGAGCACTAGTGAAATAACATCCGGCTACGAGACGAGCCGCACCGGAGATCAATGGGACAAAGCCGCATTGCTCGATAACAGTCCTCCTCATCCTCGCGCCGGATTGGACGAGACGTTACAAAGCTGGGTTCTTGAAAGGCCTGGCAGTGATAAGAAGCATAAATACGTCGATATTGGTTGCATGAAGTTGAGTCATAAGGCTTTGAAATGGCTTTTCGGTATTTTTTTCGTCGGGTTTTGTGTCATCGGCCTTCCAATTATTGTTGCCAAGCATTGGCCTAAGCATCATTCTAAACCTATACCACCTGATAATTACACTCTTGCTCTTCATAAATCGCTTCTCTTCTTCAACGCGCAGAAATGTATGTAATCTTTTTAATTATTTTCTCATTTTTGTTTAATTAGCAAAGAACAAAAAGAAATTAAAACATGATATTTTATTATCTAATATGATAAGTATTTTTGATTTGTGTAGCTGGGAAATTGCCGAAGAATAATGGCGTTCCTTGGCGAGGAGACTCGGGGTTACTAGATGGGGAAGAACTGGGTGATAAAAAAGGACTTGTTGGTGGTTATTATGATGCAGGTGACAATGTGAAGTTTCACTTTCCTATGTCATTTGCTATGACCATGTTGAGTTGGAGTGTGCTTGAATATAAGCACAAATATGTTGCGGTTGATGAGTATCATCATGCAAGAGAACTCATTAAGTGGGGTGCTGATTACTTACTCTTAACCTTCAATAGTTCCGCGACCAACATCGATAAAATTCAAGCTCAGGTATTGTTAATAACTTTCCTCTGCGTGTTTTCTGTTACCGACTTTTGTCCACGCGAGATAAGCTAAGCGAAATGTATCTATCTGAATCTTATTTTTATGTTTAGGTTGGTGGATCTCTAAATGGTTCTAAGACACCGGATGATCATTACTGTTGGCAAAAACCAGAAGACATGGACTATCCGCGACCGATTACATCTGTATTTGCAGGACCTGATCTTGCAGGAGAAATGGCAGCAGCATTAGCAGCAGCGTCTATTGTTTTCCAAGACGAATCTGATTATTCCAAGAAACTCCTCAAAGGAGCTGAAACATTGTTTTCATTTGCAAGAGACGATGGTAAAAGAGCATCGTACTGTCGCGGACAACCTTACATTGAACCTTACTATAACTCAACTGGCTACTATGATGAGTATATGTGGGGTGGTGCTTGGTTGTTTTACGCTACTGGAAATACTAGCTACATTTCATTGGCAACAAATCCTGATTTACCGAAGAAGGCGAATGCGTTTGATATGAAACCTGATTTGAGTGTCTTGAGCTGGGATAATAAGTTACCTGCTGCAATGTTGTTGCTAACAAGGTTCAGGATGTTTCTTAATCCTGGTTACCCTTATGAAGAGATGTTGAGTATGTACCATAATATCACTAGTCTTTCCATGTGCTCTTATCTTCATCAATTCAAAGTCTTTGAATGGTCTAATGGTATGACTGTTTTCATCTTAACTCAGCACTTTTAACATAAGCACTTATTATACAAGTACTAATGTATACACTTTTATGGAGACCTTATAGAAATAAGATGAAAATTATTTCTGGACACGTCATAAGTTGTTTCTATAAGTTCTCTCAATCAGTATCACAACTATTTATATCAGTAGATAAACTTGAATAAGCCAATTCAAACATGCGTTATTCTAGTTGTTAAGCTTCAAAAAAATCCAAAAGATGCATGTTAACATGAAAATTTGCAGGGGGTTTGATACAACTGAACCATGGACAAGGACAACCTCTCCAATATGTTGTCAATGCGGCTTTTTTGGCATCTCTTTTTGCTGATTATATGGAAGCCAGAGGTGTTCCTGGATGGAATTGTGGCCCAAATTACTTTCAAAGGTCTGATCTCAAGTCATTTGCAACATCTCAGGTACCATATTCGTCATTCTGGTTTTGATTCGTATATTTTTGCCACAATTTTGTAAGTGTTTGTCGAAGTTCAAATAAGTGGTTAACAATAAATGTGATTTTCGTAATGCCATGAAACAGATGGATTACATCATGGGTCAAAATCCAATAAATATGAGCTACATAGTTGGATATGGCAAGAAGTTTCCAACACATGTTCATCATAGAGGTGCATCAATTCCAAATAATCACAAAAGTTACTCATGCACCGGTGGTTGGAAGTGGCGCGACACGCCTAACAGAAATCCTAACAACATTACAGGAGCAATGGTTGGAGGACCAGATCGTTTTGACCACTTCCAGGATTCAACAAAGAATTACAACTATACTGAACCAACTTTAGCTGGGAATGCAGGACTAGTAGCTGCTTTAGTTTCCTTAACAAATACTGCAGGTAGTGGTGTTGACATAAATAGCATTTTCACATTTATTCCACCGTTCGGGCCGAAAAATCCACCTCCACCACCACCTTGGACACCATGACATAGTCTATATTTCATAGATTTATTTTATTCTATTCCTTTTGTGTTTTGGATAATACTTCTCCAATTTTCAACTAGCTAATGCATATAGATTCATTTATTTCTAAATGACTCAACTAGTTGTAGACTCTTAAAATTTCATTTAGATTATATTATTTTAGCTTTGTTCATTGTGAAATCATATTATTGAGTTAACTAGTATAGAGACTTGAAGTTCCTACGACTGGAATTTCCTATATGTTATCACAATAGTCAGTTCAGCTATGTCGATGGATAGAGATTGAACGGTTCATATCTTGACTGCTTTGAGCAGTAACTGCATTTTTTGAGTATAGATCTTTGTTTTCCGTCATTTATAGCAGGGAATCTATTTCTGTAGTCTACATTCTCTCGTTGTCATGTGAATTTTAGATAAGAAACATGATTTGGATCTTAACAGAGCCGTATCAAACTTTTGAGAGATATTGTGTAAGAAGTTGAAGCAGTTGATTGAGACGTGTAACTGTGAAATATGTGTATGAAGACCCTTATTGTCATAGCTTAATCATGAAAAAATGTGAGACCCTGAGTTGTATTGCACACCCCCTCAAAGACGGCCATGGGTCTTAAATGCATGAATATCTAATTGAAAGACTGTTAAGACATCATGATATTGTTAAGAAAACATGGAGGAAAAAGGATGGACTCAATCTCAAGGCAAAAGAGCTAAGTTTTATTGGATACTATTGACTACTATTGTTGCATACACATCATTTGAAACCAAAAACATCATGACTCTATTATCAAATCATCATATAGTTTTGTCACCCTCATATCAGTTCTTTGTTAAGCCTATTAAAAGTAGAACAAAGAGATAAATTTGATGAAACATAGAATACCATAAAAAATCGAATAAAATCACCATGCAAACATCAACTAGATCTTCCAATTCACTTTCAAAACCAATATTGCTCATTTCCGTTAAACTCGAAAAAGAAACTAAAACTATACAATGTCTCTACTAGTTAACACCGTGGTTTTAAATTGCAGCACACAACATAAAATAATTTAAGTCTCAGTAACAATGTTACAACCTCAAATTTGACTTGTATCAGCTGCATTTTCCCATATTTTTCCGTATTATAAGAGTTCACAGCATTACCACAATCGCAATTTCAAACCATGGTGGCAATCATTGTGGGCGTCACTATCTTATAAACATGAATCTGATCTCGTCTCTGCCTTATAACTAATTACTCAAGCTTATAGGCGCAAAGTACAAGACAAGCCTCAAAAGGCGTATAACTTTTAGTCGAATAATAACCACTAGTAGCACTACCATCATCACTCTCACAACTTTCGATACCTCTTTCCTCTTTATCACTCTCAACTTCTGGGACCCCAGGCTTGAAGATAAAAAGCCCAGGCCCAGACCCAGAAACACTAAAGAACCAATCATGAACGTCCCAAAACACATGCACAGGTTGTTTATTAACCACAACAGTTTGGTTCCCTCTAAACTTCCACTGCAAATTCTTAACATGAACCAAAACAATCCCATCAATACTTATCCACATTTCAGGATCTTTATTGCCAACAGTTGAACTTTCAACAACAATATCACTCTCTTTTCTCTTCTCAACAAGTTTCGCCTTTGTCGAAAAACTTTTCTTCGCAAAGACATTCTCTCTTTTAACCAACAATGTAGCCTCAGTAAGTGTTTGTTTCATTTTCATTCTCTTGTAAGCCTTTTTCTTGTAATCTCCCAACAACAAAACAACCTCGTCGTCGCAAACTAAAGAAACATAGTAATCGCCATACGGTTCAGGACAACTGCCACAGAATTTAGCCGATCTTAGATCCCAATACACATCGATTTGATATCCGTCAACCTCCAATGACTTGTAGCCTTTCTTGTTCCAAAAGTACCATGGCTTAACATCAATTTTGCAATTGTAAAGAAAATGATTGCCTCTCGCGCTGTCGATTTTGAGGTTTAATGTATGGTTCATAAGGTTTTTGCACCATAAGACTGATATATGTCTCCATTGGTTTGCAATGCTGGCTTGGTAGATGCATGTAACTGTGCTTTGTGCTGTTTTGGTTGGTAATGGTTCTTCTGATATTCTTTGTGGCAATGTTGAATCATGGTTTGAGACTGATTGTGATCTGAATGAAAGTTGAAAAGACATAATGCATACCCCTTGTTAAGGGGTCCTTTAATAATGGATTCAATTCATCAAAAGGTTTATCATCATCATTGAAAAGATGAATGAAATTGAATTGAAGATAGAAACAATGATATAATTAAGGAAGGAATGATTAAAGTTTCTAAATGTCAATAGAAAAATATTATGACAGGTAGATGTAATGCTGTTGATGATTTGTTACATAAAATTTTGGCGATGAAAGAGTGATGAATGACACCAAATTTTGTTTGTTCGAAGAAAAAGTCTTAGATTTAGAGGCTACAAAATAGAGGTGTGTCCGAATGGGAAGGAAGAAAAATAACAAGTCTCGATTAACTAATTCATTTTAATCAATATCATAATAATTCCATAATTAGGAAATTAACAACCTTTCTTGCAAACCAAGTTAATGAAGATTCTCACAAATATTGTTCTAACTTTCTATGACTACTTCTGTTTTGAGATGTTCATGCGGATTCTAACTAATCGAAAACTTGATTCAAAGAAATTGAAACATGAGTAATTGTAAAATTATAATGAGAGTATACATATATTGGACAAAGAAATCCTATCAATTGTGGTTGTATATTCCCTTTCTTTTATATTTTATAAAATTATAATATAACTTGTACTTAATTATTAAAAACAAACTCGGAATCAAGATAGATCTTTTATATTTTATAAAATTATAAAATTATAATATAACTTGTATTCATTGAGATTTGATTTTTGGGTTTTGTTTGGTGGCAAGTCAGTTGCCGTGCTAGATAAAACTTGTGGGAAAAATGAGTGATATTGAGATCCCTAGAACTCGGTTATTTCTTTAGGAAAGGTTGAGCCAACTAAACTTCAAGAAGGTACTTACCTACAAACCCCATGCAAACTTTAAACCTAAAGCCTTTGCGTGCTTTGCTTGTGTTTGATTATCTATTTGAACATGACATCATAATATCATAACATCATAACATCATAACATCATATCATTGACTAACCATTTCAAGGATCTAGGGGATTTATCTTTGTTCTGTGTTGCAGGGTCATGGCTTCCAGTCGTAGAAATACCATCCGGATCAACTTCGTAAAGATACCTTTCAAGCTTGAGGAATTAGTCTCAAAGATTCCCGACAATTCTCAATTCACGAAGAGACATGGTCATCTATTCAGTTTGGTTACTACTGGCTTCTAGGAAGACATGATGAGTATTCTATTCCAGTTCTTTGATCATAAGCATCACTGTTTTACCTTTCCGGATTATCAGTTGGTGCATACAATGGAATAATTCTCTAAACTACTCGTAGTGCCTATTCTTGATCAGATACCTTTCACCAGTTTAGAGCAAGTTCTGAAACCTGAAGACGTTGCAGTAGCCTTACATCTGAAATGATCAAACATTGTATCTAATTGGGAAACAAGGAATGGAGTCAAGGGTTTTTCTCCTAAATTTCTGATAGAGAAGGCTCAGGGGTTTCTAGATGCCATAATTTTTCGTGCTTTTGAGGATAATTTGGCTTTGCTGATCTATGGTTTGGTATTGTTCCCTAATTCAGACCAATTCATAGATGTGAATGCCATCAAAATATTCCTCACCCATAATCCAGTACCTACTTTTCTTGGAGATTACCTGCATTCCCTCCATACTCGTACTATTAAGAAGCGAGGAACTCTTATGTGTTGCATACCTCTACTGTCCAGGTGGTTTATTCCGCACCTTCCCCGATTAGTGATAAAGAACGAACAAGGTTTGAGGTGGTCTCAAAAGTTGATGTCACTCACTCATGCAGATATCCATTGGTGTTCTCGATCTCAGGCAGATGTCACTATTATTGATCGTTGTGGGGAATTCTCTAATGTACCACTCCATGGTATAAGAGGGGACATCACCTACAACCTTCTCTAGCTCTGCGTTAGTTTGGTTATACTCGAAGGGACGGTCCTCATGATTTACTCATCCAGGATATTGTGTTCGACTACGAGAACGATCCTCAAAATTATCATCAAAGGTTTATACGTGCTTGGGGCACGACCAACAAGATTGATAACAAGACTTTGGGACACAAGAATTCCATTATTCTAGAGCCTTACCTCAGATGGGTGCGGTCTCGTGCTCAAAATCTTAAAATGCCATATCCTGTTATCCTACCGGAATCGTAGAGCCTATTATTGAAGGGGATGTTTTTCATACCGTTCTTCATCCTGATATGCCTACCGACTACAAGAACTACAGAAGGCTTGGATTCAGCTCAATAAAGAAAGAGATACCTTCGAGGCTCAGTTCTATGCTAGTGAGAAGAAATTACTGGAGCTGACGAAACGACTCCACGAAGAACAAAGCCTTAACGCATATGTCAACACAAAGAGGAAGCGTCCATGGGAGACTTGAATTCATATTTTGTTGTTTTGTAACTCTTTTTATTGAAAGCAATTATAATTTGAGCTTGTTACTAAAATATCTTTTGTTTTGCTTTTGTTTAAACAAATTTAAATCTCGCAACGGTCCTTGAAAACATTGCACTTGCATTTGCATATCATGCATACCATCACATAACATGTACTCTATAAGCAGGTTTTCTCATCTTCTTACTATTTATTTCAGTAAAAGATGGCTCTAGAACAGACTGTCAAGGAACTCCAAGTACAAAATGCCTAGTTCCAGGGAACGCTCTTGAACTTATCCCAGGGGCAGAAAGAGATGATGGGGCTCATCGCCAAAAAGAAGAAGACTCGGAATCCAGTTGCTATCCTCAAGATGAAAATCAAGAGGAAGACTGTAGAAGTGTTAAGGATGAAGGTGGAAGCAAACAAGGTTCTGGGAAAATTCTTGAGGACGAAAACTATTCTGATGAACAGTATCCTCTCGCGGATGATAGATAGAAATAGTTGGAAGATCGCCTCAAAGCCATGGAGATCCAAAAAGTGACTGGATTGAATTTCGAAGAGTTGGGTCTTATTCTGGGGGTAGTTATCCCTCACAAGTTCAAGGTCCCCGCTTTTTCTAAATATGATGGTGTTTCTTGTCCCAAACTTCATCTGAGATCCTATGTTCATAAGATCCAACCCCATACTGCTGACAGAAAGTTATGGGTTCACTTCTTTCAGGAATGTTTGTCTGGTACACAACTCGAGTGGTTCTATCAGCTGGAGGGAACAAACATTTGTACTTGGGAAGACCTGGTTGTTGCTTTTTACAAGCAATATCAATATAATGTTGACCTTGCACCAACTCGTGTGCAATTACAAAATATGTATATGGGCTCGAATGAAAGGTTCAAAGAATATGCCCAAAAATGGAGAGATCTGGATGGACGAGTTTAACCTCCACTGTCTGATAGGGAGCTAGTGGATATGTTCATGGGAATTTTGACAGGTTCATTCTTCAACCATTTGATTAGAATTTCCTCATCTAGTTTTACTGAGCTGATCCTAACTAGGGAACGTGTCGAAAGTGGTATCAAGAGTGGAAAAATTCAAGTGGTTGCGTCTTCGAGTGCTGGGAAGAAGACATTCAGTGGTAAGAAGGATACCAATGTTGTTTATGGCCAAAAGGCCATGCTAAAAGTGACCGCAATCATTCTGTAGAAGCGGTGCTAGTTTTTAATCCTGCGCTTGTTCAACAACAACAACAGGGCAATCAACGTAGGTCAGACGCTCTGAGAAGATAGTTTACGAAGATCAGCATTCCATTATCTTAGGCATTGCAACAATTACTGAAAGCAGAGCTGATAACATTGAGGGAGCCATCCCATTCACTCTTAACAATCATACAAAGTAATGATGAGTCAGTTTTGATGTTCCAAAACACATGAAACCCCATCGCATGGCATATCCGATTTCACATTCTTGCAAAATTCATATTTTTAAATTTGTTTTTATTTAAGCTACATTAATGTTACTGACATACTTCTGAGATGTCTATGAACAGGTTTGGATCATCATAGTGATCCCATGCATGCTAAATCGTAGATCACCATGTTAGCACCGTTCCATGCGTTTTTTCTCATAGCTCTTAAACCAGCCAATTTTAGCCCACAATAATCCTTCCATTGGATTCGCAACCCTCGGTTTAGGGGGGTAGGGTGCTTTTGATGTTCTAACGTCCTTGATTTTACAGGTTTTGGAAGAAAACAGGCTACTGGAGAAGACGACCGGAGCTAGGGCTCCGGCGCCTCTCCAGTCAATACATTCATGTTTATATTATATATTTATTATTTCATTTAAACTAATGGATGTACATCCTCCACAGTGGTAGAAACACACGCGCTAAGGCATTGGTCTCCCAGGTCACGGGTTCGATCCCCGGTTTTTCCAAAATTTTCATATTTTCTAACTCTTGCAGATCCAGTACAAAGCTTCTATGCCTCAGCACATGCGCCCTTAATTCTCAAGCCATCAAATATCATCATCCTCAGCATCAAACGCTTCAAACGCTTCCCTGTCATACGCCCCTGGAGCTGCAGTGCACTGGATCAAACAGACCAAGCTTATTGGGCCTGAACTTCATGCTATTTGCACACCCCACAGTTTGCCTCAATACAAGCCCAACCTTTTTTTATTTTTTTTCTTAACTATTATTTATTTTTTTTAACATAATTATGTATGTTTTTTAATTAAAATTAATTTAGACTTTAGGTTTTAATTAACTTAATAAATTATTTTTTAATAATAATTAAATTAATTCCATTTTTTCATTTACTTAGTTTTTTTTAAACTTTCTTTTTAATTAAAATTAATTTAGGTTTTAGGTTTAATTCATTAATTTCTTTTTTTAATTAATTAAAATCAATTAGGTTTTAGTTTAATCGTCAATTTTTTATATCAAAATGATCACAAAACAATTTTCTCTTTTCTTTTCCTTTTTACTGCTTCGCGTACTTTATTACTTTCACGTTCTTTTTCCAATCATGTAACTACTTACGATTGTAATAGTTTAATTAGGGTTTACTCTTTCCCCTCATTTTTTACTATTTTGTACCCCCACTCCTGAAGCCTTGTAATAGCGTAGAATT